AGAAAGCAACACCCCTCAGCTCTGTGGGGAACATTTGCTTTTCAAAGACTGGCCTGGGGATTTTAAGGAATGAGCCAGTGAGACAGGTTCCTTGGCTGCAAGGAGTCCCTCCCTTCTCCCAGATATCCAGTAGCATTGTCGCAGAGCCCAGAGAAAAGAGAAAACAGGAAATGGTCTGTGGCTCCCAAGAAAAGAAGTGACTGTCTCCCCTTGTTTCAGGGTGCCATGAGACCAGCACTACAGTAAGGAGCTGATATGGTTCGGCTCTTTGTCCCTGCCCAAATCTCATGTGGAATTGTAATCCCCTTGTGTTAAAGGTGGGGCCTGGTGGGAGATGATTGGATCATGAGGGTAGTTTTTAATGGCTTAGCACCATCCCCATCCCCCTAGTGCTGTCTCTTGATAGAGTTCTCAGAAGATCTGATGGTTTAAAAGTGTGCAGCACTTCCCACCCCACTTCACTCTCTTTCTCTCTCGTCACCATGTGAAGAAGGTCCTTGCTTCCCCTTTGCCTTCTACCATAATTGTAAATTTCCTGAGGCTTCTCAGTCATGTTTCCTATTAAGCCTGCAGAATGGACTCAAACCTCTTTTCTTCATAAATTACCTAATCTCAGGTAGTTCTTTATAGCAGTGTGAAAACAAACTAATATAGGATCCTAGTGGAGACCTGGCTTAGGATTGGGACTACCCAAAGTGTTAGGTGCAGCAGAGCACATGGGGCTCTACAGCAGCTGTTGAGACATTAATAGGACTCATAACTCCCTTCTACTTAGTTATGTCTTAGAAACCCCTAACAATCACAGCACTATACAGTGTTCCTCCTGTGGACACCTGTGTCATTGATTCCTTCCAGGCCGCAGCTGTCATTTTTAAAAGGAAGCTGGGTCAGTTGCAAACAAGAGTCTGTGAAAGGGCAGTAGTGGTGGTGAAAGTCCCAGAAAACAGTCACAGAAAAACTGCCTACAGGAACTGAGATTGTTAGAAGGACATGGGGAGCGGGATGTGAAGGGTTGTTGCACTGGAGAGAGAGCCAGCTTATTCTGTGCAGCCTCTGAGCTCAGCTACGACCAATGTGTAGGTGGAAATTAATAGGAGCATTGGTCTCAGAAAGTTTGCAACTAACAATTAAAGCTGCTCAACTTGAAATTGGCAAATTAATGCATTCTTAGAATTCTCCATTACACTTGATCTTAGCCAAAAGGCCGAGAAGCAATTAGAATTCTCTTTCTATGAGGCTTTCACATAGCCACGTGGATATCTTGGTTATAGCTAAGCCATCCATTAATGGCACAGTTTACTGTGCAAGGAAATAGATTAATTTCATATTCCTTCTATGAGTTATGTTCAAAAGTAAGCCTAATGGAGACATGTAATGAAAGAAAAGATGACCCTCTTTTTCTGCTCTGCTTCATGAGCTGCTTGCTGCTGTATAGGGTTTTCTTAGGAGTACTGGGATCTCAAGTACTGTGGGGTTGCGACCTGAGGTATAATCCCACTTCTTTCACTAACTTGGGCCCCCTTTTTCTGTGGGAGGAATCATTGACTCAGCCCTTTTGAATATGCTGGATAAAGATATGATGAAGAATCTAGGGAAATAAAAAAATAGCACTGAAAAGATTTGACTTTGTCAAGGAGGAATGACATAAAGGCTCTAAGAGGAGTTGCCGGTCTTTTATAGACTCACTGAACTTGCAGCCCAGGAAGACATCTTCCCTGGGACCCTCTTTCATCACTCCCCTGCGTGTGGTCAGTGCCTCCAAGCCATCCAGCCTGTCCTGCTTGACCAATGACAGTCTGGACCTTTCTTTTCCTTTCCCATCAAAATTCACTGGTGCTGTTTCCAAGACCCGGAGGAATTAACGTGAGAAATTTTCAGGCATTGAGACCAGATGGGAAGTATTTCTGACCAAGAGTGACTGCCTCAAAACATAGCACCTGGGTTTCTTGTCTAGCTCAGAAGTTTTCAAATTCTTTTGCTTCTGTGTCCCCTAAAAGCATTGTAATAAAGTGTGTACTGTCATGGAATTTTTATGAATAGTGATGTTTTTCATCATAAATTTAGACACTTTAAAGGATGTAATTTGGGGCATATTATAAATGTTTTCATGTTAAAATGAAAGCTGAATTTCTCCTAAATGTATACAGTTGAATCTAAACACCATGATAATGGATAACCATCATTCCATTTTAAAATCAAATACTTCTGTAACTTTTAGAAATTTGACTTTCTTTTTCTACTCAAACTTAAGTTTTTATTCAACTTCCTTCAAAAAACTTTACCTTAAGGTAACAGAATTTTGTTTGAAAATACTGCTTACCATGTCACATTTATCTGCAATTGAAACATACCTAAATTCAATTTTTTACTTTTATTTCCTGTGACCATAAAGCTCTAAACATTAAAAAATCTATGCAATTGAATTATTACCAATACACTACTGATAATACAATGTAAACATATTAGTAAACACAAAGTAAAATTATATTTCAAATGCATCCTTTAATGAGATGATAAACTTTTTTTCAATTAGTTCATTTATCTGTAGATGAACATTACTTATTGCTGAAATAAGGGGTTAGTATCAATCCTATTTCTATTTTTTGTTTTTATAGATGTAAGTCGAAGGAATTGAAAGTGTTTTATTATAACAATGTAATTCAGTTCTTTGAATTCATTCTATGTTATATGCCAACATTTACCTAATGGTCTATTAGCAAAAGCATTTTTAATCTTCAGTCACATGACTATTTGATAAAGTCCTTCTTCATTTTTAAACAGTGAATTAGAAAGCACCTGACTAGCAGAAAGATTTCTTCTCCAGCAATGTGAATACATTTACTTTCTTAATTTCTGGGAAGTACACCAAGAGAGCTTTACTAAGATTTATCAAATTATTTTTAATTATGCTGTAACACCTATACTTAGGCCCACCTTTTAAAACCCGTATCACCAGAAATGGCAGGAAAAATAAACAAATTTTTAGTTTTATTACACATTTGCCAAAACATTGCTTTTTGCTAAAATGCATTGATCTCATTTATTATTTTAAATGTACTGCCACTAATTTGGAGCTGCAGATTTAACTCATTTATGAAAAATATTTGTCATAAAAACTCATTGGCAGGGGCAGTCTTTACTGTCAAACCAGTCAGCCAGATCAGACGTACTTTCTGTTAGAAAAAGTTTTTCCTTTTTGAATTCAAATAGCTATTTTGAGGAATATTATAAAAATCAATGAGAACTAAAAGTACACTTTTGTGAAACTGATCACTAAAAACAATCAATTAAAATAATAAAGATCTAATATAATTAATTGTTCCATGTTTAAGTTATAAAAACAAGACGATCAATACACTATTTCTCATATAAGGCAGGAAAATGATAAAAGGCGTGGTATATCTCTAGTAAAATTATGTGCAGGTATTGAATACTGCTGACTGGCTTTGGAGAATGATTAAACAAGAAATATAAAATGGTAGAAACAACTATGGTCTGAATGTGTTCCCCAAATTTCATATGTTGAAAACTTAATCCATAAATTCATAAAGTTGATGGGATAGACCCATGATGGTCCATGGCTTTCTAACAAGAGAAGAGACCTGAGTTGAAATCCACGTTTTGCCCCTCCTCCTTTCTATCACAATTTTGAGACAGCAAGAAAGCCCTCACCAGGTGCTGAGCAAATTCCAACACCAGGCTCTTGGATTTCCCAGTCTCCAGAACCATGAGCTGAATGCTGCTTTTCTTAAGTAGATTATCTAGTCTGATGTTTTGTTACAGCAACAGAAAACAGACTAAGACAAGAATTGAATATAATCGAATAAATGTTTCATGTTATGGTTTAATACAGTGGGTTCTGACAACTTTATCAATGAATGCACATCAAATCTGAAAGAAGCCATGTGAAAGTTTTTTATCCTTGGGTTATTGCATCTGGTAAAAATCTGGCATTCCCAAAAGGCATTCTGGTTACATTTAAAATAATGAGCATGGCAAATCTATACTGCTTTAGCTCTTCCAAGTTACTTTTCTTCTCAGTCAAGACACATCCTAGGGAAGGATATTGACAATAATGGGAAATAATTGCTAACAATTATATGCAGAAGACATTTTCGGCATTCAGTGCCTTCTACTGATTTTGTTTCACTTTCTCGTGGCTCTCCCTTAACAGCAAGAAGTTCTTTGACAAGAGTCAGGAAAAGAAAAAAAGGCATTAAATCAATATCGTCATTATTATCACTCCACTTTATTATATATCTGAATTCTAAAAATCTGTGAGTACAAACACCCAATTTCTGTGTTATCTAACATAATCAGCTTTAACATGTGTATAAAAGGCGAAAGCCCAAGGCTCTTTGGATTTATGACTAATCATCAAACCTTTTCCCTGTTGGCTGTATCTGAGGTTTTTGGTGTCATATTAAGAGCAATGTTCCATATTAAGATTTGGGAGGAGTAGCCCTGTATCTTTTTTTATTTCCTTTTTTTTTTTGAGATGGAGCTTTGCTCTTGTTGCCCAGGGAGGAGTACAATGATGCGATCTTGGCTCACTGTAACCTCCGCCTCCCAGGGTCAGGTGATTCTCCTGCTTTAGCGTCCCGAGTAGCTGGGATTAAAGACATGTGCTACCACACCTGGCTAATTTTTGTATTTTTAGTAGACATGGGGTTCACCATGTTGGTCAGACTGGTCTTGAACTCCTGACCTCAGTTGATCCACCTGCCCCCCAAACACCACCCCACTTGGCATCCCAAAGTGCTGAGATTACAGGAGTGAGCCACCAACCCAGCCCTATATCATGTGGGAAAAGAAACAGTATGAACAAAGACTCATTCTCAGCAGATCAATTTAAGGAAAGAGTATAGTATATATAGAGGATCTGAAAATTAATTTCCTGAATACTGTCCTTGAGCATGAAATCTGTGAAAAGTCATCACATACCTTTAGGTATGCATACCTCAGTTTGAAAATGATGAATCTATCATATCTGTATACAGCTTGACCTGACCCAGTCCAAGACTGTTTATCATGGGATCTCAATCCCTGGAGGAGGATAACCAAAGGATTCGAAAGAGGGCTCAGAGAGGTCGAGTTGTAATTGCTGCAGAGAAGTTCTGAGTGGCATTGAGGGACCTCCAATTCCAGTCTGGTGTTCATCCTGCAAGTGTTCCTGCTATCAAACAGTGAGTGCAAAAGATCTCCTGGCTCTTTGTTAGTGAAAGTAAGGGCAGCACCGTCCTTCCCAAACCAGATGATTAGTGTTGCTAACTGCCATACCAACGGAGGCAAGCAGATGATATAAATGAATGAAGCAGACAGTATGTAAGAAAAGAGGTGATGAGGGTTTGATAAAAGAGGACATGCCTCATCCACAGGTGGAGGCAGCTGTTCAGCCCCAACCCCACTGTTGCTATATTTCCCACTTTTCTATCTAGATATTCATGTGAAATCTCTTGATTTGTAAATGTCGGCAATTAAGTAAACATTTTTATACAACACATTGAAAAACAAGTCTCCAGGTTAAGTCTGCTCAATGGTTGTTAGCAGTCTCCTCCCAAAGGCAACATGGTGTTATATTTGCCTCTGGTGAGAGAACAGAGCAGTCTTAAATCAAAGTTTGTGTCTTCTGAGGTGAGCCCAGCTATTTCTCCAATTCTTAGCTCTGTCTCAGTAGTTATTAATGCTTCATAAGACATTGCTGGATCCTGACACGAGTCTTTCAAATTTAAAGTGCAGAGTCAGTTACTACTTCAAGCTTTATGGAGGCTGAGGAATTGTCATCAGTGCACTCCACAATCCATAGAGTTGGATGGAACTTTAAACATCATTTATTCCAGCTCCCCTGTTTTTACAGCTTCTCATAACATTCTCTAAATATTAGTATTGGGGCTAACAGAACTTGGATTAATAAATGGAGGCTGTGAAATCCCAGTTCCTGGATGCTCTCCTCATATGCCGCTTCCAAGGACTGTAAAAACATTTCCATAGAAAGAAGTAGCTGTGATGCTAGTTTCAGCCTTTCTTCCAAACCCTGACCTATAATTACCCTGAGCTCTTTAACTTCAGATCATGTGCTAATTTTAAAATATGTCCATAAATTCTGTGGTATTCCTCCTTTCAGGAGGTAGAAACTAATTTCCTTTATCCTTGAGTATGGGCTATACTTAGTGACTTGCTTCTAATGAATAGAATATGATAGATGATGGTGAGAATAACTTATTCTGAGAATAAGTCATAGCTTTTGGCTTGTTCCCAGCTCTCTTTAGTTACTTGCTCTTGAGGAAGCCACAAGTTATGGGGACACTGAAGCAGCACTGGGGAGATGCTCATGAGTAGAACAACTGAGGCATCCTGCAAACAGCCATGGACAAACCTATATTGGGAGCAGATTGTCTAGCCCCAGGTAAGTCTTTAGATGATAGTTTTTTTTTTTTTTCAATAATTTTTTTTCAAAAAAGGTAATTAAATTTAAGGAGGACTTATTATACCCAGAGGTTAATAGCCAAAAAGGTGGTGGTATGTCATTTTTAAGAATTTTCCTTCAGATTGAACAAATTTTAATGATCTGATAAGCAGTTAGAATTTAGTTCTGCCCCAAGGTTCCTTTCTCTTAATGAGATTTAAAGTTTTAGGGTAAATAGAAAACTTAACCAAAATCTGAGAGGTGCATTAATTTCAAATTCAGCTCAGTAAACCCCAATTTAAAAGTTCTTCCTGACATAACACGACCCAAGATTTCTCAGAGAGCATCTGATGCCCACTCTCCAGAGGCTGAGCTCCCGTTGCAGGGGCAATGTTACCTTTAGCTCCTGTTTTCTCTCTCTGGCTTCTATCTCAGAGGTCTGTTCCTTAGTCTCTGTTGAGGTGAAACTGCAATACCTGAACCCAGCCAGTCAAGTAAGCAACGTGCTTACAAGCCAAGTTAAAGTTTCACTCCCATAATGGACAAGGAGAGACCAGAAGACATTTCTCATGCACAGGGAGTGCATAAATCCCCTGAATTGCCAGGTTTCAGGGTCACATGAGACCTCTAGAAGGCTCTGATAATCATCACTTTATCATCTTGTAAGTTCCAGTTATCTGGGCACACATGAACGAAGCCTTAATGACTTTAAATTCTGTCTCAAATTTTTATCCTCTTACAAGTTTAATAAGCTTTTTGTCTGAGTAAAAGTGCAAATATTCCATGAAGAAGTGAGGTCAGATCTCTTTTGGCAGGGATAAAGAATACCACCACAGAGTGGGTCTTAATGGCAAGGAGTGAGAATAAGTTTTGAAGTGTATGGGAATGCCTTGGAAGGGAGAAAAAGTGTAGAAATAAAAGGATCTTGGTCTAATTCTCCTTTGTGTCCAGAGGCAGCTCTGCAAATACCATCTTAATGAGCCACTGCCTAGCCCCTAATCTCATAAAATCCTCAAAAGGGAAAACGCATGAAAGGCAGAGCTGATTCTCTCTCTTTTGATATTTGCCCTTGGGTTTGCTGGCCTGACTTCTGGGACTCTGGGAACACATGAATTAGCAAGAACCAGAGACGGCATTCAAAACTAGGCCTCTTCAATGATAAGCCAAATCAGACAGTTACCTTACAGCTTGCATATTTATTGAACAAATACTACTAAAATAGCTAAATACATTGGGTACTTGTCATGAGTGCATCAGTAAAGATCACATTGTTACAAAAGCCTGCATTTTCAGCAGTACACAACTGCAACTCTACATAAATGCCACAGATGCAGAATACCGTTTTCTTGCTCTATTTACACAGCTGATATACCTATTCTAATGAAGGAGGGAGAGGAGGAATGCACAAGAAACTCAGGCCAATGGGGGAGCGAGAAGAAAACGAAGTGCAGCGCATGCGTCATCGGTGTTTAACAGTCAGAAGCGGAACAGTTCAGAACAAGGCCTGCCCTGTCAAAAGAAGAGCTAAAAGACAGTTATATAAAAATTAAGGTGGGCTTTCAGACTGGCTAACACAACAACATTCCATGAGTAGATGGTATTTTATTTTTGTTTATCCATTTCATTGGGAGCAAGGACAAAAATGTAAATCTACACCTTGCTTATCAAAATCACCAAAAAAGGAGTGCTCTGCCTTTTAAAAAAGTGCAATTATTTTGGAAAGACATTGTTTTCCAATTTAGTATTTGGAGAGGATGTCATTTTCATATTCCTACTCAGAGGCCAGTGTTTTGGATTTTTCAGGGGAATTTACTTAAAAAGGTTTTGTTCTTTGTTTCCCCAAATATCCTTTCAAACAGAAAGAACCCAAAGAGACACCTCAAAATGCCTGTAAAATTATTGCTTTTCTTTAAGTCAGGCAGGCGAGGCTACGGAAAGGAAGAGATTTGGTAAGTAAATTACAGTTTTGTGATTGCTCCCGCTACCGTGACTGCATGTCTGTAAGTGCCAGCCAACGAGACATCGTCTCTCACACTCTGGTAGCATTTGCTCAACCTACAACACTGAGGGAGAAAGCCACACTGAAGACACAAGGAAAACAAGTCAATCCAGTCTAGAGAACAACATTCAGGGAAACAGAGTACCAACACCTTCTTAGAACATGGAAATAAAAAATAACTCCATCAGAGCTACCTCGCCAAGGAGCATGTTGAAAGTCCAAAATAGCACCATTCATCAGTGTCTCAGGTCCTGTGGCAGCATCTCGGTCACTTACCACAAGGAAACAATGAGTTTCAAACTACTTCTATACATCAAAAGAGTACATGGATAAAATATAGAGATATACAGACAATTGATGAACATAAACTACTAGGTTTGTTACATCTAAATGAAAAAAAAAGGGGGGGGGGACTCTCAGCCTCTGCAAGAAGCAGTCGGGAGCTGTGTGAGTGAAAAGGCAGGAGTGGACCAGTTGTGTGAGCGCGGTGGGAGTTTGAGTTGTGGAAGACATTGTTGTAGCGAACCAGGCCTGAAGGCCCACCTGTAAGGGTTGTAAACGTGGATTCACAGTGTGAAATTCTGAGCGTTTTCACTTGAGTCAGAATGATTAAAAACTGGTTTGATGATACCTATTTGTCCACTGTAAATTCTCTAAAGCAAGGCTCAGAGTCCCATAGTTGTTTCTTCTTATACTTGATGATTTACACAGAAAAAAATCCCATATATGATACCATGACCTCATCAATACCCATACACCATATGTAATACAAATGGAGGTGTTACGATTAAAAAAAGTGGAGGTAACTGATTCTTGGGGAGCGGAGTTCATTGCTGCCCAGTGGAGGCAGGGAGGCAGCGTTTGTCTCATCATCCTTCTTCCAATTCACTTCCTTGGGGACAGGAAGTCTTCCCTGCAAAGCAGGCAGAGCCACACACAAAAGACAAAATTAGTCATGCTTCTGAAACCATTTTTAAAAATTTTGCAAAACAGAGTTTACATATTAAACAAGGTTCACCTGAATGTAAATATTAGGTCAGTGAGGAAATAGTAATTAAACACTGGCCCCCTTTGCTTCAGTAGAAGGAAGTGCTTCTGTCATGGTGGTGCCAGCCATGTGGGAGGCAGCATTCCCCAGAGTCAGGTTTCTGGGGACAGTTTCTAGTATCAGATAGGGCCCAATCTTAGACTGGCAATAGATACTCACAGGTGTGTCAGTTGATATAATTAAAAAATAAAGTCCAGTGGGTGTGATGAAGAGTAATGATCTATTTTCTAATAAGTAATAAAAATATTTAAAAACATATATCAACTTGCATAAATCTTATCTATGTATGGCTTATTCTACGTGCCATTGGCACATGCCAGAAATGGGTACCAAAGATGGTAAGCGTCTGGGAGGGAAATCATGTGAGGGTGCCCAGACAGCAGTTGTAGGAAAGGGGACTAGTGGGAAACCAAAGCCAGAAGACAGAGTCAGCTCATCTAGACTGACTGGGTCTATTCTAGGTCTTTCCTCACAATCCTGATGAGTAAGGTTTTTTGCTTCTGACTAGAATAACTCAGTTTCAGTGTGACTGCTGATCCACCACCATGCGGCTCCCTGGACACAGTGCTGCGGCAACAGTGGAGAGGAGCTCTCCAGGACAACTAGGAAGCAGAGGCACGGTGAAGCCCACCTGCCCAGGTGATGCACAGTGAAGGTCTTAGTTTGCCACAGATGGATTGTATGCCCTGTTCAGGTATGAACATAGTGAAGATTTGACAATAGTCTTTTAGTTTTAATTACTGATATTGTTTTGGAAAAAATTATCCTTTGTGGTTTAAAAGATGTTTTTTTTTTGTTCAAGTCACATGTTCTAACACAACAGTTTTAATAAGGCAATTTGACTAGATGTAAGTACTTGGATTAAAGTGATAATCTTACTTTGTGACCTATAAATTATCACATCTGAATTTCTTTTTAAGAATTCAGAAGCCAGTAACTTCCAAACAACTTGAAACTGAATATTTTCAGCAAGCCAGGGGTGAACTAAATGCAACAGATAATTCAACTTTAAAAAGTCTTAGTTAATGTATAGATTTTCTGTATTAAACATCTGATATGCTTCGATTTTGTCTCAGACTTTGAGAGCATACAACATTTTTTGGACATATATTAAATCTAACCATGATGTACTTTAATACTCCAATCTTAGGTTGTGATTTTAGAGGTTGTTTTCGTATCATTAAATACCAATGGGACCAAACCAGAAAATTAAATACAAATATAATTCACTACTCATACACCCTTAAGGATCTAGATTAAGCATAATATTGGATAGTTATTTGCAGTTGTGAAAATAATTTCAATGTTGGAATTTTGGTACCCAATGCCAAAATTAAAAAAAAAAAAAAGACATCTACTATAATCCCAGTGTCTTTAAAGTAATGCTACCAGCCTGACCCCACCTCACCTCCCAGTTAACCAGTTACCATGGTTCAGGATAGGACAAACTTAGGTTTTGGACAAATGAAGAGTTCAATGACTGTTGATTGTCACAGGCAAGAAAAGAAAGAAAACCAAAAGTTGGTAAATGTTAACTCAACAATTATACTCTTTACACACCTTGCCTTAAAACTGCTCCAGTTCAGACTTACTCTGTTTGAAAGTGAATACACAGAACATTAGTGTATCTCTCTATTTAAATCTCAGTCGTAGTACTAATAATCCTCTACCTCCATGAAACATACACAATAAAACAAAATGAAGAGCTAAGGATTTGGGAAGAGGCACTTCCAGGAAAAAAGAAAGTGAAGATTATTTCAGATTTGAATTTACCGTTCTTATTATTTTTTCTGTTTCAAGGTCCGAGATACACATTTCTTCATTCATTATTCATGTTCTGAGTGCCTACTATGGCTGGAGTACTCTATTCGATTTTAAGCTTAGAGATTGAAACAGAAAAACAGTCCCTGCCCATCTCACCCTTCATTAACTTGCTGTGTGGAAGAAAATCATACAGACTGGACCCTAATGAGGCAATGGTAGTAAGGCCCACAGGGAAGTGCGCTACTAAAGCACCCCGAGGGACAGAACTCAACATGCCGTCGGGGTCAGGTGCTCCTGGGGAGACAGAGTTCTGTGCATCCTCCCTGTGGAGTCCTGGATTTACTAGATTTCAGTCCTCTTCCCCTGATTGATTTCAATGCATTCCCCCTCCCACTATGTTTTTTTTTTTTTAAAAGGCTTTCTGCCCCCAGTAAGGAATTTTAGGCTCCTGCGATAAGTGGAGGAGGCATTTTGAAGATGGGACACAAAGAAGTCTTTCTCCAGAAGTCAGGCCTTATAAGAATTCAAGCCAAAAAAAAGTCCATCCATGGAGAAAATAGTTCCTCTCTCATCCAGCACATAATTGTGCCTGCAGAACTGAGAGACTTGAGTAATTCAAGAGGCTAGGGGTTGGGGGGCAGATGTGTCCAGTGGCTCCCACAGCCCTGCTGTCCTGGAAGTCACGCCAGTTAATGTGCCTCAGGCTAGATCAGCCCTTCTGACGATGACTACTAGGAAATTAATTCCCAGTTACTCAATAATGTGCTTTGGACCAAGTTAGTCAAGATTATTTTTCTTATAATTATGCAAAGATATGCTTTTCTAGAAGGGAACTTCTGGAAAAAAACCAAATACACTATGCTTAAAATGCTATTCATGTATTTAGAGAAGGAAGAAATTAAAATAGCAGAAGACCAGAATACTATGATCCACTGTGCCCACCCGGGGGAGCATGTCTGTCTTTGCGTGGGGCAAGACCTAGCACCCCAGGGCTGGTTTTCTAAGAGTAGGCGGAGGCACCATTGATCATATCGAGGAATTATGCCTAGTCTTGCCCCTATGTCATCAGTATCAAAGAGAGGACCTTTGGATGCTTGAATGAGGCAAGAACTAATGCGAAGGCTAGACCTTGCCTTGTTTTTCACATCTTGCCCTCAGCTGCCTTAGGAGAATTATGCCCTGATCTGGCACAGTGATGAATGTCTACAGTTATACTGCTGTTGCCGTTGGTGTGCTGTTGGTGAGGTGTGGGTGTGTTTTAAGGAAAGTGCTACTATTTTAGCTCTCTTCCACTCCAGCTCTACAAATCAGTGCAAGTTTAGTTCAGGCAGGGCCAAACCATTTTGTTCACCTACTTTCCTGCCAGTGATTTCAACCTTGACCTTCAAAAATACTCTGCAAGATTAAAAGTGATTTAAGATTGTTTTCTTTCAGTGCAAACTGCCAGTTGATAAACCTCTTCAGTTTCTGCCTGCCTGTGTAAGATAGGCAATTGTTGAGACTATTTAGTATAAATAAAATAATTGCTTAAATGTTGAAATACTAGTAATAGCTGGGGGAGGCCTCACCATTAGTCAATTACACTTTCAAATAGAAATTTTTTCAGTGGATTCTATTTTTCTTTATTAATTGCAAAATCAGCAAGTGATTGATAAAAAGTACACTCTTCCTGCCTGAGGTCAAACAAGTATTTACCCTAACAGGCAAAGTCCAATATCTAGTAAAAACTGGTAAGTAGTTGTTACTGTTTCAGAAATTATGCTAAAATCAAAAATATAAATTTTACAGATGTTCTTGAGGCAGAGAACTGCCACACCTATGATGTCAGAACAATGAAGCCATGTTTACTAAAAAAATGTTTTTTAGGCTTCAAAATTAGAAGAAAGGAATGTAACAGCTTTTTGTTCCTCCCATTTTGCTTAATGGATAATCTTGTATCAGACCTTCAGACATTATTAGCAGACAATTATGTCACCATCTTATACTCTTAAGATATCTTTTAGTTTGATCATTGTATTTGAGTTTGTCTAACTAGGAATGAAACATTTGAAACCTGTGAAGTGTATATTTGATAAACTGATTCCATGTTTTAAATGCAAATTTACTTTTGATTTATCAAGAAAGCAAGATAATGTGAACTTTAAGTCATAAAACTTTAGGATATTTTTAAAAAGTATGTTATTTCCAAGGTCATCATAGTGTCAGATTAATAGGTTGTTATAGCAGCCTATAATGGATGTTAAAATGAAAACGGAAAAGCTCTGATACTTTTAAACAATTGTTTCTGTACTGAAAACAGTGTTAACAAAATGGCATCTAGGGATCTTACCTTAGGAAGCCTTCCCTCCATCTCCTTGTTTGGAAATGGTTCTTGATTGACCCAGACCAACAGCTCTGGGTAATGAACCTATAGAGACACAAAAGCATACACATTCAGATTAAAAACAGGATCCACTCTGAAACCACATGGGATAAGCTGAATGGGCTCAATTCTCCTCAGTGGTCACTTACTCCCAACTGCAACTTAGAGCACTGGGGAAACCATTAACTCTTTCAAACTGTTAGTGTGCTTCTGAACACACACTCCACTTAGGAGATTTTCAACTCCATGTCTTCCAGGATGAAGTCCAATAAACCAGAGATATCAATCAATGTTATTTTTAGCAGGCCAAGTAGCAGCTTAATGATACGTCTGGCTGAGTCACTAAGTCACCAGGGAGGTCTAACTTTCAAAGCAACCTGTGATAAGTATCCTTGCAAAACTCCATCAAACACTGTTAAGGGTTTTTATTAGAAGGCTAAAGATTATGAACAGAGTAAAAGAGGAAAGAAAGCAGCCCGGATTCTCTCCAAGTCCATGTGGCCAGTGACAACACATTCTGCCCAGCTGCCCGAAACAGCCAAGTGTCTGAGGGAGGGGTGGGAGACAGGTGTCATCACCATGAATGATTCAGAGAATACTAGCTGATGAATTCAGTGGTGGGAGGGGGTGGAGCGAGGGAGTGGAACTGAGTAACTCTGCTTTAAATATACAAAGGATGATTAGCACAAGGTTGCTGACCAGCTGTTCTCTATCTTCAGTACTGACGGGCATGAGCCGGGAAAGGCCTTAAAATTACAACTAAGATTTGGGTCAGCTCTAAGAAGGAAGAACTTAGCATAAGAATTGTTAAATTACTAAAAGAAATTAGAGAAAAACTGTAAAAATATTCTTTAAAAAATGTAGAAAGAGAATCCAATAGCCATCTGTCAGGGCGAATTCACATTTAATATAGTTCTGATTGAAAGCAGAGTGAAATTAAGTAAGATTCCCTCCAGATCTGGTTCTCCAAATTCCGTAAATAAGTGTCACATTTAATAAACAATAATTAAGGGTCACACCTCTTTAAGAGATGTCTGTTTAGAGTTTGTTTTTGGAAGCTCTAATTGAGGTAACCTAATCATTGAGTTGACTGTAATGCTTGGTATAACCCGATCAATCCATTTGGTCAGGGGATCTAGGGTAGGAAATGGGGATGGCTAACTGCGTTCACTCTTTGGAATGATCGAACAGTAACTCTCTTTGCTCTACACCAGTGACATTTATAGCACATCCTAGCTTACAAAGCAATTTTGCATACATTATTTAATTGGTCCTGATAAGCCTATATATTGATCTTATCATTAAACAAATGAAGAAATTGAAACTCAAAAACGTTAATGACTTGCCCAAAGTCATACAGGCAGTGTAGGGTAGGACTGAAACTCAAAGTAGGTTTCCAGATTCTAAACTTCATTTACTTCCACTATCCTGCTGCCCTCTCATTATCCCAGAATGTAAATCGCCCACCACCACTCCACTCCCTCAGAATTACACCAGTCCACAGCCGCCACCCACTTTTGGTTCTTAAAGAGAGCTCATCCTGCAAGAGCTGGAACTATATTCTCCTAGGACTGGGTCTGCTTTCTGAGCCACGTGGATCCCCACAACCTAACCACCTTACTTTTCCACATATTTCCTCTCCTCTGCCTAGCTCCTTCAGAAAGTATTCCACCATCTGCCTTGTTTGGGACAAGCAGCCATTTCTGAAATTTCCTTTATCCAGGAAAGAGTGAAGAAAACACAGTAACAATCTCAAATACACAGGCTTTTTTCAAGACTTATAACAAAGTCACAGCACACAAAATCCCAGTTTGGACTTGACTTTAGGGGACCCCAAATTTGAATCTACTGTTAAATTCACTTAATATAAATGGATATAAAGTGATTACATTTCTATATTACCATTTTAAAAATCATATTTTAAGTACAGTCTTAAAATATTAGTGAGAAATTAAGCTCTGTTAGAAACCAAAAATGTTGATAAAAGTACATTAAACACTTTGTAGACACAGAAAGCAATGAAAAGCAAGGTCAAGTAAGTATTGCCATCTTGTGTTCTTGTGCTCTTCTGGGATATTCCATTTTAACGAAATGAGACTGCTTTAACATTTAACTTCTAAGCATCAATACTAAAATCACCCAAATCTAATTTGTAGGGGAAAATAGCTTGCCTCTCAGAAATTATTACACCTATTCTAACAATCTGTTGTTCCAAGAACTCTCCATTTGACAAAAAAAAAAAAAAAAAAAAAAAGGCACATGAATATCTGACAGCAAAACAGACATGACCCAGGAAACTTTCTCCCTCACTTCATGTATGTTACATTGACCAAGGCATTTTTCTTTTTTTAGTATTAGGCATTTATAGCACATTATTTAAGTATATGAATCATAAAGTAATCATTGTATACTTTTAGAAAAATGAACATTGCTTTGGCCTTGTGGTATTCTTCCAATCGCCTTCAAAATCAGAGCCTTAAGCCAAAAAATGGCAGGGACAGAGGAGTTTCAGTTACATTGTTAAAACCTGCTTGGCTGGTGTCTAAGAACTCAGCATGTCCCTAGACATAGTATCTAAAGGAGATATTTAAACTTATTTTTTTAAGCACAGTTTTAAGAAACAGTTGTAAATTACTGGAAATAAAAGCATTACATTGTTGTATCTATCTGCATTGCAGCATTGTTCTTTCTTACACCTGCAGTATTTTGAGACCCTAAAGTGAAGGGCTTAAAGAAAAGATCTATTGACAATTATTATTAATTACCTTTGCTCTCAAATGATTCAGACCTGACTTTTGGTATTCCACAAGGGCCTCGACTTCCATTCCATTCCCAGTGCTGGAGGTGGAGAATGGGTGGTCCTAAGTAACAATCAGCTGCCTTTCTGTCAAAAGCAGTCTCAGTTGAAATGTACTATATTTTCTCTGCCTCTTCTCATCAGAACATGTTCTAGTCTACTAGCCAGGTTCTACTTCTGGCAGTTAGAAGTCAAATCAAAAAGTGGCAGTCAGAGCCACTGTTCAAGTTTCTTACCAGCCTCTGCATTCATGCAGGAAGAGTTCATGAAATAGTTACAATGCGCTGGACACTGTTAGGTTCTGGGGATTGCAAGAGAGATAGAGTTCCCACCTTCTAGACGCTCAAGTCTGGGGGTGGGGCAGGTACAGCAGGGGTGATCAAGCCACAAAAATACACTTTTAAAAATGTGGGTCATAGGCTGATCTGTATCACCTCAAAATTCATATTGGGAAGTCCTAACCACCAGTACCTCAGAATGTGATTGTATTTGGATACAGGATCTTTACAGAGGCAATTAAGTTAAAATGAAGACATCAGGGTGGCCCCAATCTGAAGTGACCCATGTCCTTCTAAGAAGAGATTAGGACACAGACACATAGAGGAAAGACCATATGAAGACACAGGGATAAGACAGCCATCTACAAGCCAAGGAGGAAGGCCGCAGAAGAACCCAACTCTGCCAACGTCTTGATCTCAGACTTCGAGACTCCAGATTGTAGAAACTCGAATTTCTGTTGTTCAAGCTGCCCTGTCTGTGGAACTTTCTTATGGCAGCCCTTGCAAACTAAATACAGTGTGCTTTTTGAGTGCAACAACAAAAAAAGAAATACACAGGTTATGTCAAATTTAACAGCTGCTGGAACAGGTATCAACAGACTAAACAACAAACAAAACCAACATTTAGCATAATCTGCAGTAGTGCTGTCAACAAAGGAAATGGGGGTGGGAGTGAGCACATCTGGGAGGGCATTTGACGGCTGTCAGATGCAGCCAAGGAAGATAGGTGAGGCATAAGTGCATGATAAGCCCCATGCTGGCAAGTGGCCCTGTAGCCAGGAGGTCTTCCTGCAGCTCCCAGGGGCCGCAACAGTTACAAGACCAATGTGAACCCATGAGTTTCTGTGCCCTCAGTTTTCTAACTAGTTCAGAGTATTAGGAACTGACAATGACGCTATAACTGAAGCTTTTGAGTGCTGATAATATGAGGAACAGAAAACTGATAAGTTGACCTGTCTTTCTAGAGTCCATCTGTGCTTGCTGACCTGTAAAGCTGCCCATTCTTGGTACTCATCAACAGACACTCCAAACACGGACATGTGGCTAATACTGCTTTCCATTCATTCCCTGTCTGAATTCAAGTTTGTGTTTTTCATTAACTTTTTTCACTGAATTTTTTCTCTATTGTTGTTTTGGTGGTTTGCATCTCAAAAATTTAAGTGTTCTGGGTATGGGAATACCTCAAAACTGTTGTTGTATTAAACAAGTAAACCAAAGTTTGCATTAATCTTAACAAAAAAGTATGTCTTCTTTTAAAACTGTTTTTTCCATGTATACAATAAACAACTGGGTTTTTTTGCCCAAATAAAATCCTCGAAACCCTCTAGAATGCTATTCTTCCAGAAATCAATTAGAAAATCCGAAAAGCAAGTCATACCTTCAATAACTGAGAAAACAAAAATGACAGTTTAAAAAAAAAAGTAGGGGAAAGGAAAATTTTGTTACTTTAATTTGGAGAATATGCAATGGTTTTGTTTGAATTCTGGGAAATTTTAAGGGTTTATACTTGTCATTTAATATACTGGTTGATGCATCTTTTTCTATAATGTTATATTTATCTCACTGACAGTTAGGTTGAAAAACAACAGATCATCATCAAGAACCACGCTGGTTTCAAATACACTAATCATGACATATGTATTTAGATATTCTTGAGCAATTCTTAGGAAAAACCAATTTTATGCTTTTGAGTATAATTAATATATTTAAACCAACTATATATTTAAATATGACTTATAGTGAAAATGTGCTATTTCTTACTGATTCTCTTAAACATATTGATAGTTGGGTACTTAAGTTTCAATATTCTATCACAGCATACAAATTGGAAATAAAATACTCAGGGTTTTGTCCTTCCTTTCCTTTCTTCCTCCCTTCTTTCCTTCCTTTCTTTCGAGGCTTATTTTTCATGACACACTGTCCAAAGAATAAAACAACTGCATTTTTTTAAAGTCTATAAAGTAATTAGC